ATTTCATAACGATTAGGAACAAAACAAAAACCACAGACGTGTATCAAGAAAAAAGAAAAAGAAGACGAGCGAGGTACCTGTTACGGAAGCAGTTTTGGAACCGGGCTTGGCGTGGATGGTAATAGCAACGGAAGAAGGAGTCATGGATCGAATACAAGAGGGCCAACTGTTAGCTTGTGCCGACTGAGATGGTTCACTCTTGTCAACCTTTGCCTTGCCCCTCTTCGCCGGCGGCATCTTAATTTTCAGATTGCTGGTAGCGTCTGCCTTGGCTGAGGACTCCCAGTGCCGTGCCGAGTCGAGACCCAGTCTAGCAATAAGATGCTACTCCTCCAGTACTTATTATAAGACTCCATTTGACTTTTTATTTAGTCTTAATTATAAGACCCCAATCCATTTTGTCTCTTATATTTATGTATTTTTTTCCAAGATAATCCTTCTAATAATGATAGTTTTAGCCAATATATTTAATTAGCAAGGATATTTTAGGAATGACAATACTTATTTATTATAAATAACCAACTTAACTTACTTCCTTAATCTCCTCAAATAAATTAATTGGGTCTTATAATTAGGACCGGAGGAGTACCTCGCTTACGCACTGCAAACGAGGATCTGTCTTCCCCATGCCCCCCTATTTATGCGCAAAAATATCTTTAAACTTTATTTTTTTGCCAACATTTTTTTTAAATTTTATATAAAATTTTATTTTAGTTTCATACATTAAAAAAATTATTTTTTAACCTTAAATTATTAATAAATAAATAATAATTTTTAACGTTAATAAAATATTTTTAAATACTAATTTATTATATTTAATTTTTTATAGAAAATTATAATCTAAAACTAAATAATTTTAAACTTAAAAATATATTTTCCTGTTAAAAAAAATAAACTAAGACTCTATATAAAATTAAAAAAATTAAATATGTACTTTTACTTACATATATGTATATAACATTGTATTTTTTTCCTGTTTCATAATATAAAATGTTAAAAGCTAATTCACACGTATTTATTATAAATTTCAAATGATTATCAATATTATTTATGTTGATTATACTAAATTCTAATATCATACTCCTTCTTTTTCAAAATATAAGTATTAAATTTTTTAAAGGTCTTAATTTTTTTGTTATTAGGTGCAATTTAAATTTGTGTTATTGTTTAATGTTTTTTTTATTTCTAATTAATTATATTCTCTCTTATTATTTTTTTCTCATTTGTTCTTTCTCGCTTCCCCTTTGATAAATAGATGCGCAATAGGAAAATAACTTATATTTTTCAAACATATTTAAATAATTTAGTATTTGATATTTAAATTTGGAATCAAAGACAGTATTAACTTTTTCTTTCTCTTTATTAAATATACACTAAATAGATGCGTAATAGTAAAATAAGTTATATATTTTATACATATTTAAATAATTTAATTATTTGAGCCCAGGAGGGTTGGTCCGCCTGGTTGACAAGGGGAAGGCAAGGCGCCACGTACCCGCCAGTGCATGGGCTCGATCCTAGGAAGTCCCACCTGGGATGACTCCGGATTTAGTCTGCACCCAAAGGGTATGGGATACCAGAAGGAGAAATCCAAAAATAATTTAATTATTTGATATTTATATTTGGAATCAAAGACAGCATTAATTTTTACTTTTTCTTTATTAAATATGAGCATGTATGACAAAAATATTTAACGCTAAGTGAACGCTCCAAAACCTCCCGTCAAATTCTGAATCAAAAATATCTTGGAAAAATGACAATAAAATACCATGTGAATTTCAAAAAGACAAAGAAAGCACCTGAATAAGCAAAATGACAAATAAGACATTGGGTACCAATCTGGAATTTTGATTTTTAGCCTAATGACCGAATTGCCCTTATTATGTTTGAAAACTAAGGAGATGGAGAAAGGGAGAAATCGCCTCCTCCCGGCGAAAGCAATCCCCCCACTCGGCGAAACCAATCCCTCCACTCAGCTAGTGAAACTGAATCCCCCTACTCGGAGAAACCAATCCTCCCACTCAGCGAAACTAAATCCAAGTTCCTTCAGTCACCGAAAAAGGTCCTTCGAAATCACATTGCCGCCGTTGCAGGAGTAAAGTGCTGTCGGTGAAATTGGTAACCGTCGCAAGAGTACAGTGCAGTCATTTGAATATATGTAATGTATTTGCTGTCATATGGCTACTGGTTTTTGGTAAATACTGTTACATGAATGGTACATTCCATTACACATGTAGTTAGCATGAAAGTTAATGGTTCAATGTTTACTTTGATGTATTTCAGGTGTAGTCATTTGAATATATTTAATGTATCTGCTGTTATATGGCTACTGGTTTTTGACAAATATTGTTTCGTGAATGGTGCATTACATTACACAAAGTAGTAACTCTCACTATGAAAGTTGTAAATAGCACTATGTGTTTTGTAAAATTCAGTATGAAATTAATTGTATTGTTTTTTATACAGAATTTACCCCGCCCCTCACAAAAGGTTGTAAAGCCCATTGAAGAAGTAGTAAATATCATTGTGAAAGTTGTTATTCCCAATATGTATTTTGTAAAATTCAGTGTGGAATGTTTTGTTTTTTACAGAAAACGTTGCCCAGCCCTCACAAAAGGTTGCAAAACCCATTGAAAAAGTAGTAAATCTCACTGTGAAAGTTGTTATTTCCACTATGTGTTTTGTAAAATTCAGCGTGGAATTATTTTGTTTTTGATAGAAAAGTTACCCACCCCCTCACAAAAGGTTACAAAAACCCATTGAAGAAGTAGTAAATCTCACTGTGAAAGTGTTATTCCCATTATGTGTTTTGTAAAATTCAGCGTCGTAGAATTATTTGTTTTTGATAGAAACATTGGCCAGCCCCTCACAAAAGGTTACAAATCCCATTGAAAATGTAGTAACACTCACTGTAAAAGTTGCAAATCCCATTATGTGTTTTGTCAAATTCAGCATGGAATTATATTTTTATAGAGAAAAGTTGCCCTGCCCCTCAAAACAGGTTGTCAAACCCCTCGAACAAGTGGTCAAATTCACTTCGCGAGTTATAAATCTCGTTATACGTGTAGTAACATTCTGGGCAAATGATTTAATAATATTTGAAAATCAAGCAGCTTTACATTTCTTGAAAATAGTTTGCAAATCCCTTACATACAAATCCCTTTGCAAATCGGAGAACCTTTTTCGGTGACTGGAGGAGCTTGGATTTAGTTTCGTCAAGTGGGGGGGTTCGGTTTCGTTGAGTTAGGGATTGGTTTCATCGAGTAGGGGGATTCGGTTTCGCTGAGGGGAGGGATTAGTTTCACAAGTAGGTGGATTGGTTTCGCCAAGTGGGGGCAGTTTCTCTCTTTGTCGAGTGGGGGGATTGCTTTCGCCGGAAGAGAGGTGGTTTTTACCTTTCTCTATCTCCTTAGTTTTCAAACATAATAAGGGCAATTCGGTCTTTAGGCCAAAAATCAAAATTCCAGATCAGTACCTGATGCCTTCTTTGTCATTTTGCTTATTCAGGTGCCTTATTTGTTTTTTTGAAATCACATGGTATTTTACTGTGATTTTTCAAATATCTTCTAAAACACTTCTAATATACTGCCTCCTTAATACTATTTCAGATACTTAATATATCAAATAATAGCTAATTGAATAATGGGAGTATATTAAGAAAATCTGTTTTAAATTAGTTATTTGTAATAATTAGGTGTTGTCTTCTTTAAATATAATTACTAATCATGTATTAGCTAAAACTATTATTTAATTGAACATTTAAATGTGTAACTAGTACAAAAATTACTTTGAAAAAATCGATAAATAAGAGAGACAAACTGAATAGAAATATTATATTTATGACTAAATTAAAAGTTAAAATAGCTCTTAGATAAAAAATCAGAGATAGTAATATAATATCCTAATCCATATTGATTAATTTTTCCAAAATACTCCTCCGATTCTTAATATAAGATCCATTTAACTAATTTGATTAGATTAAAGAAATTAGGTAAGTTAGTTAATTATAAGAAATGTGACACGTTTTTTTAAAACACCATAATCATCTTTTTAATACCTTTCTCCCTCTTCTACTTAATTATGGTTGAGAAAGTATCCATAGGGGTAATTTAGAGAAAATTGATAAATATGATAATGGGTCTTATATTTAGAATCAAACCAACTCAACAATTAGGTCTTATATTAAAGACGGAGGAGTAGTATTTGTAATAGTTGCACATGTTAAAAATTTAATCAAATAATAGTTTTAGCTAATACACTTGATTAGCAAGGGTATTCTAAAGAAGACAAGATCTATTTATTATAAATAACTAAATTAACAAATTTTTTTAATCTACTCAAATTAGTCAACTAACTCTTATTTTATCCTAAAATATCTTTACTAATCAAGTGTATTAGTTAAAACTATTATTATTATAAGAACTATTTTAAAAAATAAATAAATATGAGAAATAAGATGAATTATAATATTATACTCCTCCGGTCCTTATTATAAGACCCAATTTGACTTTTTATTTGGTCCTAATTATAAGACCCAATCCATTTTCTCTCTTATATTTATGCATTTTTTTCCAAGATAATCCTTCTAATAATGATAGTTTTAACCAATATACTTAATTAACAAGGATATTTTAGGAATAACAACACTTATTTATTATAAATAACCAACTTAACTTACTTCCTTAATCTCCTCAAATAAGTCAATTGGGTCTTATAATTAGGATCGGATGAGTATTTAATATTAAAATAAAAATCAAATAAGTAAAAAAAAAAAAGAAAAAGCGCTGTACATCTACTAAGGAGGGCATATCAGCATCTCTACAGATTTCTTTGTTTTTTTTTTCCACCCAGAAGGACGCCACGTAACGGATCCGAAATCAATCTGGCCCTTGAAAAAAGGAAAATAAAATAAATAATATGGCATTCGGTCTAACCGTCGACCAGATTCGACTTGATCTGAATCCGATCGCGGATAAACGCAATCGTTTCCTGATCATTACATTTAGTTTTTAAAATAATAAATGCCCGTGCTCGGTGCTTGAACTCGGGGGCTAGTTTCTGGGAATTGCAAGTTTGTACCACAGGAAAACCAAGAGCAAAGAGAGGTTCATTGATTGGGAGCCAGAAATTCGGTGAAGCCAGACGATGGGGCAAGCCGCTTCGACGGTGCAGAGTGTTTCGCCGGAACAACGGGAGGTGGAAAAAGAAGCATCTTCCTTGGGTGCTCTTCCTATGCTTCGGAGAGCTTTCTCCAAGCTTGCTGATCCCGAAACAAAGGCCGTTCCCCGTGAAAATTTACTGGTACTGATAAACATTACTAAACTCTCAATTTTATTTATCTTCTTTGCAGTTTTGGAAGCATGGAATTACTCAATTCTGATGAAAGAAAGTCAAAGTAACTGACCACAATAATGTTAAGTTATGGTTTCTCAGAAATCTGTTAAATCAAGCGGGCATTCCCAACTGTTGGGAAAAAAATACTTACAGGGCAACTGCGCTAAATTGATGCTTGCGGCTTTAGATAAGAATTCCTTGTTTCCTGTTTATTCCTTCTATTGTTCTGTTATCTCTTGGTGATTGAATATTCCACAAAATGCAATGTATCATGACCAGTTACTCTTTAATGTGCAAGTATGTGTGGAGATGGTGTCTGCTTTTGTTTGATTCGTTTTCGGTTTAACTGGAGGGGTAATCATTAAGCTTTTAATCTTAGCCACCTGTGAATTCTTTACCAAGCGGTTTGACATCGTGGGTTACCTGTAATTAAATTGAATTTTAGTTAAATTCAGGTCCGAGTGGAAAGATGAGGAATAATAATAAATGTTAAAAAATTTTGTCACTGGCCAAAATTTGAAGAAAAGGAATTGTTGAGGCTACTTGCTATCTTTTGTAATATGTATTCACCACAATTCTTATGTTCACTTAGTGTTTTATCTTCTCTCTGACTTCTAACATGTAAACATGTTGTTTGCAGCAATGCTTTAATATAGTTTACAAAGGTCAAAGTGATGCCAGCAACATCCCCAAGTTATTCCCAGTACTGTTAGATCACTTCGGCTCATCCATAGTTGACCAATTTTTTATGCCCGCTGAAGGACAAATTACTTGGATTGAATTTGTGAGAGGCTATAATAGATGCTGTACAAGGATGTCTGCATCTGTGTCGCTGAATATGCTTCTCAGAGTATTGCGTTCAACTGTAGGAAGAGCCAATGTGCCTATCAATTTGGAGTTTGAATCTGATGATACTGATTGTAAAGTAAATGGATCACTTCTTCCCAGTGATGTACTCTTGCTTCTTCTTATGTGTTGGTCTATGTCATGGGACTGTAGAAGTTTGAAACACTCTGAACGCAAAGTAAGTCTTAGCCCACCAAATCTGAATCATTTGGTACTATCAGCCATCACATCATGTGCGGAAATTGACAGTGGCTTGAATGTATGGGATGGTGACTTCTCAAGCTCGGAAATTCAAATTCCTGCTGGAAAGTTTGTTACATGGGTTTTGAGTACAGTACCCTGCCTCTCAGATTGTTTGAGTCAGTTTTTTCATGCAAGACTGCAAAATCAAGCCACTGCTGGGGTAATTCTTGCATTCAAGTTGAACTATTTGCGATCTTTATTTCTGTGACACCTGTTCAACATAATTTCCTTTTATGCTTAGGAGGATTATAATCTTTTTTTTTCCCAACACTACCTTGTGTTCTGTGCTTATTATAAATCAGTCCAAAAACTATCTTCCCTGATTATTAATTAGTTGAAAATTGAAATTAGATTTAAATTAATGCTTGCCCTTAATTTATGTCAGCCCTATTTTTAACTTCATCTACCTTACCTTCCCGCTGACTTTGTTGAGTGAGCTGCTACTACTTCCTTACATCCTTATCATTTCCAAGGATACAGTGTAACTCAGTTAGTCATGTTTGTATTTCTTGTTTCCATTAAAACTTGGCTTTCCTTTATCAAATTGAGGTGTTAAGCTTGGATCATTATACAAGTTGGTGGTCAGACAGCTACTTTCGAAGTTGTTTCATTCTGTTATTGAGTTAATTATCATAGCATTTGATATTAATCAAATAACTGAATAATTCTGTTATTGAGTTAATTATCATAGCATTTGATATTAATCAAATAACTGAATATTTTTTCTTAGATTCTAGAAGGATGAGTGACTGGTTAGCTCTGCTTCACATTTTCCTTTTAGGTTACTGCTAGTAGGGAATGATAATTGTCTTCAAGACCTTTGCCCTTAACATTTACACTATTGTGTATGGTGTAGTGTCACTGAGAGAGCACTTTCAACTAAGCTTATGTCCAAGTATTGATTTATTGAAACATTTGCTGTAAGAAATTGTATGAACTGTAACAATGTGCTTTGCCTGTCATTGTACTTGCCGAGCCTTGTGTTCCAACCTTTGTTAGATTCAATAATATAGTTTATCTGCTTTTTGACATGGTTATTGGACAATAAAATCTATTGCATCTGGCTCTGAGATCTCTATAGATGAAATAATTTCCTGATCAATGGCAGGATGAATTGGCACCCTCTAATTCCTCTGTTGAGGATGTTTCATTGACAACAGAATGTGATAATGACATTTTAACCCACGGAAGGGCATGGGCAATTGGTCTTACACAGAGAAGTACAATAAATGAAGAGATCTCAGAAGTGTGTTTTCCTAGGGGTAAAGAGGGAATGGATGAAAGACTTCTTTATAGGTAATCTCTGAATCTTATATCTGGCTTGATCCTTCACTTATGCATTAACAGTGTGGGAGGCGAGCTGGAATATAGAAATTCTTTCTAACTGCTTGGCATTGCTAAAATTAAGGATGAATACCTCATTTTGTACTACTGCTTCACAACATTATGCTTTCTGTCTGATTTTGTTATCTGCTGACTTAGTCTTGTTCTCTTGTAAGCCTTTTTCTTGTGAGACTTGCCATTTGGAAAAAGATTGGCTTTGACATCGAAAGTATAATATGTTATAGGTCATCGGCTCATGGGAAAGGCCTAAACAGATTTTGGTCTCATGTTGAAGGTTACAACGGTCCGTTGCTAATTTTGATTGCAGCAAGTTCAGGACAAACCCATGAGGGAAGCTCCGTTGTTACGAAATGGGTTATAGGTGCACTAACTAATCAAGGTTTTGAAAATAAGGATCTGTTCTATGGAAGCTCAGGTTGTTTATATGCAATAAGTCCCGTTTTCCACGTATTCCCACCTTCTGGTAAGTAATAGAGGCTCAAAGTGGCCTGTTTAGTTTCCTATTTATTGGAGAGTGGGAGTTTGGGAGGGGATTTTTTTTCCCCCTTTCTTTTGACTAACTTGTTTGCAGCTATCCAACATTAATTGTTTGTTATTATTGACAGGGAAGGAAAAGAATTTTGTTTATAGTCACTTGCATCCTGCTCGTAGAGTATACGAGCCTCATCCAAAACCCGTGGGGATTGCATTTGGAGGAACTATGGGAAATGAGAGAATATTCATTGATGAAGATTTTGCAAGAGTAACTGTTCGTCATCATGCTATTGACAAAACTTACCAGCATGGTCCTCTCCTTCCAGACCAGGTATAATTCTATGTCAGAGGATTTGATGTGTTGATGTTGAGTTTGTAACTGAACAGTAATTAAATGCATTGATCGGAAGTTGCTAATTATGCATGTTGTCTTGTTAGATACATTTTAATCTTCTGGTTTGATGGTTCCATCTCTTATAGAATCTGGGTGTTTTTGAGTACATGGTTATTCTGATTTATATACTCGTCTGATTCTGTTTATAAGTAACTTTCAACATGTTTTATATAGACCAAGAAAAACTTTAAACTTTATTAACTTTCATTTAAAATTTAACAACTTTCCAAATTTATCCTTATTTAATACACATTATACCTCATGTAAACAAAGTCAATATAATAATAAATGAAGGGTAAAAGTGTACGCCCATAAAATTTTTTTTTTTCAGTACCTTATAAATAGGACTAAAAATGTTTTCTTTTTACCCTATAAATAGGACCAGAGGAGTACTTGATTCTTTTGAATGAAATCTTTTTTTTTTTTTGGCTAAAAGAAAAATAATACTGTAATCCTAATGATAAAATTTCTAATAAGAAGCTAATGGTGAAATATTTTAAGAGAATTATTGGGGGTTAGAACAACATAGATTGGGATTGCTAAAACACTATGGCTATTGAGCAACATTGAACTTTGCTTGTCCCGCAACTCCAGCTTCCTGAGCTGTCATTCGTTGGCTTATGATATGTTACATTTTCAGGGTTTTCTGGCTATCGAAGGTTTAATATCAGAAGTGGAGGTTTGGGGACTTGGAGGGCATGTGGCAAAGAAAGTGCAAGAGTCATATAAAAAGAGAGAGGAACTTTTCACTGAGCAAAGACGAAAAGTAGTGCGCCTGATCCCACCTCTGTTCTGTGAATTAAACTTTGATGAATCAATAGAAAGAAGGAATAATATGTTATGCTCTTTTGCAGGTTGACTTGAAGACATTTGCGAGCTGGGAGGATTCACCTGAGAATATGATGATGGACATGATGTCTGATCCAAATGCTGTTCGAAGGGAAGACCGGTAAGATGGAACCCTTGATTTCTTATAGCAAGAGCTAAACCGTTTATTGAATGAAGATCACACGTTAGCCTGTGGTAGCTCATTGTTGTTTGGGCATAAGTCATATTGGTTATGAATTTTTTTTCGTGTAGTATAATTAAGAATAAGAATGAACCCTTTGCGTGTGAGAAGATAGCAAGATTATTCTTAAGAAGGATTAGTTCTGTCATCAACGTCGGATGAATGAGTATTACATATAACAATGCAAAGTAATTACTCTCTCTAGTCCTATATACAAGTCCCTTCTAACTAATTCATATATACTAATAAAAACATTTAAAAGTACTAAAGTTGTCATAAAATTCAAATGAACTATAATATTATTGTTATCAACCACATTAAATTCCAGCATCATATTAATTTCTATTCTTTCATCACCCTTATTAGATATAGTCATACATGAAAAAAATATATTTAATACTCCTTAAAAAGCATCAAACATTATTATAGAAAGAATTAAAAATACTTCTCAAAAGACGCCCTGTAATAGAAACCGGAGGAAACATAAAAATATTGAATTATAGGGGAAAGAAATGTAAAGGACAAAAGTAAAGTGAAAGAAGTGATTTAAAAAAGGAAAAAGTGCGCACTATTCATAAACTGTGATTAGTGAAGCTGATTTAAGCAAAGAAAAAGTACACTTCATACTTGTATGCGCATATATATATATATATGTATAATATTATACATTGATGATTTTTATGTTGAATATGGAGCTTCACGATTCATCATCTGGCATGAAGGATGAAATGAAATAAAAACTTGTCCCATTATGTGTTCCATGGAAGCTTAAGATATTGGAAGTCAGTTAACTTATCGAATTTCGACACAAAAATTATAGTCAAGTTTATAAATTAGTTGATAGGTTCATTAATCATTTTATTGACTATGATTATGAAAGATGAATAATCATCATCATTATTATTCAAACACTCCCCTTCCCAAAGAAAACAAATACTTACAATTAGAGCACAGCAACAAAAAGTGACTCATTCCGGTGAGAAGAATTATCTGGTGATTAGTTGTAGTCAATTGAGACGAAGGTGCAAAACGCTATCGTTTAAAGAGTTCTATATTCATACAGTTTGACCTGACTTAATTAAGCCAATATAACTTCTAAAACATAGTGAGCAAATTTTTTTTTTTTTTAAAAAAAAGAATTGAGAAACATCCTTCACGGTATAAATAGGTAAATACATATCCCATATGCCTCTTGTTACACTGTCAAGAATCATGTCTCATCAGTCATCATTCTTCCTACCTAAATTTCTTTCCTTCTTTCTTTGTGGTTTTGCTGAATTGCACCTTTGCATTACCAGGCAAAAGCCAAAAAGGCAATTCTTTTAAGTGGCAGGGCTAAGGGATAAAATGGACTAGATCAAGTGAGATGACAAAAGATTCCTCCACTCTTTAATTAAAGGAGCAATTATTAAACAAGTGAGATTGCTCTCACGACCTCTCATTCATGCAAAAAATTTTATGCCGTTAAGCTACAAGGTCGTTGACAGAGATTTCTACGCCCTAGATGAATCATTAGTGAAGATAAGAACAAAATTATCAGACATTTAATATAATTCATTTGTGAGTTCATATAGCATATAGCGAAGCAGATGGGAGTTTGGGGATTGTATTAAATGACAAAGTAATGAAATGTTTACGAGGAAGGCCTCTTCTAAATTCTAATTTGCAGGTACAATTAAGCCCGCATGCTCCTAAAAGTGGGCGCCATTACAAGCTGTGCACCTAACAAAGTGCCCTTAAATCAACCAATGGATCAATACAACCCCGTCCCCCACAAAAAGTGATCATTAATTATTCACAATCCTCAAAAGCATCAAGAACATATCAAATTATACATCCCATCTTCAACCAAGATAAGATGTAATTTTTATTCTGATAAACCAGAACCAGATATTGGGTAAGTGAGAATGCCTAATTAATGAATGCATATTGGCTGCTTTGCTCTAATCTGAACAGTACAGTGTGTTAAGCACTGAACGAAGTTGTGAATGATTATAAGCCAAACCTGAGCATATGGGTAATAATTGATTATAATATGAATGAGACACAAGTTGAGCTTAGGGTTAGGCTAATAAGATGCAAGTTCCAGGAATGTAAATCAATAATATAATATATATATATATATATATATATGCATATTTATACGCCTTACTCTTGTCAAATCATCCACTAGGGTTACACACACATACCCACGAAGCCAATCAAGCTCCTTTCACTTTTCCACCCAAAATGCTTTTAATACATTCAGTTCCCCGGTTTTAAAAGAAAAAGAAACACCCTGAAGCAAAGATATTTTAAAAAAGAAAAATAAAAAAAAGGCATCATGGGAACTAGTTGCGCACAAAAAATATAATATTAATGAGATAAGAGCTTAGTTTGGCTCCATTATAACAAGTTATATATATATTTATATATTTATATAGCAAGTTCAAAACTATTCACTACTAATAATGAACAATATCAAGGTTTTATTGCTTATTTTAGAAACTATTCAAATAAATATGAAGCCTAAATTTTATAATAAGCGTATAATTTATAGAAAAAGATATTTTTGATGAAAGTATTAATTCATGAAATCACACATCCCGTGAAAAAGTTATTTGCATATTGGATATTTTTATGCATATCATATATATATATATATATATATATTCATATTAAACTATGTTTAGAATTTTGAAACTATTTTGGATTTTTTACTTGAATCCCAGAATTTAAAAATTCGGATGAAATTTATTTAAAAAATTGTATTAATCTTGAAAAGTTTTTAAATATTGATGACTATTTTGATATATTCACTATTTTGTTCTGTTTTCCCCTGAAGGATCATCGATCAGTTTTGTTTTGTTTCCAATATTGAATTTACTCAGAAAAATGTTGATTAGACTTGTAAAATATTATTTATTCATAACACTTATAATTAACCATTACTACCACTAAGAGAGACATTTCAAAATTAACATTATTACTCAAATCCTATTTCAAATTAAATCAACTATGTTACAAGATTAGATCGAATGCTTTACGCATGTTATCCTTTAATAATGTAATGTTAAGATTACTTAATTAAGATGGTTATTTCTTTTGAAAAAGAATAATGGCGAGACTATAATAACATTTTTAAAGACATATATCATGGTAAAAAAGCTGTGCGTGTGTGTGTGTGTGCGTGTGTGTATATATATATATATATATATTTTTGCCAGCAAAAAAAGCTGTGTATATAAAGGATATAAATGATGATAATAGGGATGCATAGGGCAGGAAATAGTTGATTAATGGGGCCCCTACACAGTTATATGACAAATACGAATGTGTGTCTAAATCGGGAGAAAAATTGAAGAATTGGTTGGCGTGTGACAAAGCTTTAGCCTTACAATATTATCATGTCTTCCAACCAATATTCTCATTGGATTCCAACCACGTTTTTCCCATTCCCTTTTTGTTTCTTCTTGTTACCTCCGTTCGTTAATACTAACAGTTGTGTTTAATATGAGACTTTGTTAATTTATTTGAGAAGATTAAAGAAGTTAATAAGTTATCTTTAATTGGATTTCAAATTAGCAACTTCTATTATTTTATTTTTCATTCCTTTTAGCTTTGAATCGTATCTATTAACTAAATAAAAAACACAAGAGTTTCATAGCCAAAGGTAAAGACATCCAAATAGGGATTATTTTGGAATGCACCAGTTGTGTTCGAAACAATGCTAATAAGAAATCAATTAACGGGTATTTTCAGATATATTACTCAAAAGAATTAACACTTATATTTATTGTTTTTCTCCAAATTAACTTGGCACTCCTATAAATTGATATGTATAATATAATGATATACATAAGTATTTTAAAAAGATTATGTAAGATATGTTATAATTAAGAAGTTTAGTAACTCCCCTAATATCTCCAATTTAGTTAGTTAAATCTTATATTAAGGACAAGAAATGATATAAGAGTTGGATAACTAATTTGTGGATATTAAGAAAATTAGTTATTTATAATTAATGGATGTTGTTTTTTTCCTCTAACATATTCTTGTTAATTATATATATATTGGAAATATTTGAGACAAAATAAATTAGAGTCTTATATTTATAATTAAAGATAATATTACAATATTATCCTTAATTCTGTTTGAAGTAATAAATAAATTTGTATCTGTTTTGCATTGTTAGGATATGGTAGCTCCGTACGCGTTTATGATCGTTGGATATTACCCAACAGAATTATTCAACACGCGAAAATTTATATATTTACAAAATAAAAACTATTTCCATAGTACAGATAATATAAAAAAAATTTATATTTTCATGTCACGAAATCACAAAACTTAATAATATTAAGTAATAAAAAATAATAAGGATAATATGCGCCAACATTTTACGAACGTTGCTTATTTGTCTTTTACTTATTTTTTTCATATGCGTCTTTTACTTAATTAATTTTATGCCTTTAACAGTGAGGATTTACAATATGAATTTTTATTAGGAAAATAACAGTTAGCTCTCTAAAGAAAATTCTTCTGAAAAATAATCATAAATATTAATTTTAGTAATTTCAAATATAAATCTCAGTTACAAATTAAGAAGAAAAATACTTAGGTTAAGTTATTTATATTTATCACATCAAGTTTTCCAATCAATGTGTTTTATTTTTTTTATAGACTCTTTATAATTTATTTTCAAGTCCAATGTGGGCCCTGTGGGACCCGATAAAAAAAACAAACATAGTGAGATCCAGCCCGCAAAGATATGGATATATGATATATCCAACTAGTGGTTCCATGCAGTACAGCCTAAAGCCGAAAAGCACAACTTTTTATCTGTTCGACAATTAATAAAACAAAATAAATCATTAAATTTTCATTATTATGGTGAGCTTTTTTCCATTTTCATTAATTGAAAAAAAAAAGTGAAGGTTTTTCCACTTGTGTCCGTGTATCTTCCTCTGTACAAGTCATTTATATATATAAATGTTTGCTTTCATGACTATTTTTTCCCTCTACTTTTAGGCTTTATGCCTCATTTACACACACACAAAAAAAGGTACATCATTAATGAGTTAGATAAACCCCACAAGCACACTTTCCTTGTTTTGTACTCCTCCGGTCCTTAATATAAGACCCATTTAACTAATTTGATTAGATTAAGGAAGTTAGGTAAGTTAGTTAATTATAAGAAAAATGACACATTTTTCCTAA